TGACACGTTCTGGCTGTCTGTAAATAAAGCAAAGCCACTTCCTCGTCCGACATTAAACAGAGCCCGACAGAGGACAGAGGAGGGAGGGGCGGGGAGGCTGTCGCCGTGCAGCGCAGCTGTCCTGCGTCTGACCTCAAAGTGCACAAGCTTCAAACTTCAGCGTTGGCTGCGATTTTGAAGCTGAAATCGCGTTCGGTGTGAACGCACCATACTCAGAAAAATCCTAGATACACCACTGGATAAAAATCGAACAAAACTGACCTGTAAAATTGCACGTACCTTACACAATTTTTTTTTTTCAAAAAGCCTCTAAAGACTTCCTGCAGGTGTTGAAATGCCCCATCATCTTTAGGTATTTGCACAAAACCACATGTCCCTGTGGAACCCTTTCCCTGAATAAGCTGTATAAAAGAACACAGCAATGACCTTTAGTTTTAATTTCCAACATGTTTTATACATTCAACAACACAAAAACAGCATTTGAAGTAGACAAACTAAGCTGTGATCAAATAATAATAATGTTATTGTTTGCTTTACTCTTCCTGACCTTAGCCTGTGTCAGGAAGTGTTGTGGAATATGGCGCCATCTTGTGTTGAGACCCCAGCTCCTCAGTGTTAACTGGCTGGGAGGTGAGGCAATCCTCCCATGCTTGTCTTGGGAAATGTTGATGTCTCCCAGTAATTTTCACAGCCTCACCTGAACCACCCTGCTTCCCTCTTTCCACAGAACACCTCATGGTTTTCCAAATAACCACTTTTGTTCTAATTCCTCATAATAATCTCAACACAAAGATTTATTTTTTTTTTTTGGAGCACCATGCTGGTACACTTTAAGTGGCTTATCTTTACCAATATATTACTTTTAGAAGGTGGTGTGGGAAGAACARTGAGGTAAATTTCCACAGCATGGAGGCAGTTACGAGTCCATGGGTTGTTTATTTTTGAACCATCGCCTTCAGATGATGGAGGCCCTTATGGGATAACCAGGAAATACGAGAAGGGTTTTCAGAGACCTACAGCAGATTACATCAGACGCACGAGATCAAGAATGTGTAAAACTATATGTGTGAGATTTCCTAACTTGATAAAACAAAGTGTTTAAGATAATACACTTCTATAAATGTTTTTTTTTTCTGTTAACACAATGAAAGACAGTCCCCTTCCTGAACTTCTAATCTACACGTCTTTGTTTTCTACACCCTGACTCAGAGTCACGTTCTCCAGAAGTCAAACAAGACTGGGAAAGATAACTCCCCCAAAAGAAAGAAAAACCTTAAACATGTTGGTTATCTGGACTTTTTAGACTGTTTAGTTCATAACACCCATCTCGGAGTTATCTTGAGAAGTATGTGTCATTTTTATGGGCAGTCCCAGACTTTTCCCAGTAATCCCAGGGACGGGTTCCCCTGCACCTTTCACTGGAAACCTGTTCAGTTTGTTTGAAGAACAACACAAAACAAACATCTACAGAAGAAATCACTCTTCCAGGATCAAGGTGCTTCCAATCAGATATATTGCGTAGGGAACGTTTGCTCTGTTTTCACTGTGTTATTCTGGGGGGCAAATCTGAAGAAGTTTTGATTTTCCTCTGGATGTCTGGATGTACCTGAGCCTTTAGTTTGGAAGATAAGATGTGGTAAGTTGGCTCCAACGGCTTTTTGAAAGGTGTTTTAATAGAAAATGTAATAAAATGTTGTACTCCTCAGGCTTTTTCTCTGATGTTAGACTGATAAAGTTTGAGTTAATTATTTTAAAAAATGATGGTGACACGACAAATTAAAAATGTCTGGGCACCACATCACCAAAAAATCAAATCACAATGAAAACTGAGGTACTGGGGAACATAGCTACTGGGAGACACACGTACCAGGTATTATAGCTACTGGGGGACACAAGTACTGGAGAACATAGCCACTGGGGGACAAAAGTACTGGGTATTACAGCTACTGGGAGACACAAGTACCAGGTATTATAACTACTGGGGGACACAAGTACTGGGTGTTATAGCTACTGGGGGACACAAGTACCATGTATTATAGCTACTGGTGTACACAAGTACCGGGTATTACAGCTACTGGGGGACACAAGTACTGGGTATTATAGCTACTAGGGGACACAAGTACTTGGTATTATAGCTACTGTGGGACACAAGTACTGGAGAACATAGCTACTGGGGGACACAAGTACCAGGTATTATAACTACTGGGGTACACAAGTACTGGGTATTATAACTACTGTTGGACACAAGTTCTGGAGAACATAGCTACTGGGAGACACAAGTACCAGGTATTATAGCTACTGGGGTACACAAGTACTGGAGAACATAGCTACTCGGGGACACATGTACAGTATGTAAGGTTGGCAGCACATGTGACAAAATAAAACAAAGCTGTAACTAAAGCTTTATAAAATACATTTAAAAACAGGTTTATTACATTATTGTATTAAATATCTGTCTTTTTTCCACTTGAATAGTTTGTAATAAAACTGTCAAAGTCCATTTAAAGTATGTTCTAATGATTATGTTGCAGCTTTGTTTCACTGGTCAAATTCTAAAATTTGTTCAAAAAGAGCTTTTAAACAATTCCACAACTTTTTAAATTTAATTAGTATTAAATTTAATGTTCTTATTATTAAACAAATAAATGCAAACAAATTCCAATTTAAGAATTGTTGAAAAATGATCGTCTAAAGTTTACAAGATGTTCTCTTGAATAAATAAAAACATAGTAACAGGCTGTCCAAACATTTTAATTCAACTTGACAAATTTCTCTGAATTTCTCCACATATTTATGAACCAGGGTTGTGTGGAAGTAAAACCAAGTTTTTGAAATAAAAATCATCTTAATGTGACCCCAGTTGCCACAAGTCACCTAAATAACACGAAACGACTTGTTCACCGATGTAATTTCTTTGGGTGAAAGGTTTTTTTTTTTTCCTGGTAAATACAGCATCAGTTTTAGCTGGAGCTGTCAACTTTTGGATGTTGAATAATCAAACAAATAAAAAGGCTGGGGAAAATGGACATGGTGTTGTTCTACATGTCTTTATTTGGCACCTGTTAGAAATAAATGCTTTCACAGCYGAACCCTGAGTTCCTGTGAAAACCATGAGTCAGCGAGTTGTGTAGAACTCTGAGAGGGATTTTCCCTCTTCCACTTCACATTCAGGACCGCCTAACGTTCTGGATCATTTGCCAGCAGATAATAACCTCCCTGTGCACRGATGAGGTCGGGGGTGAAAGGGAGGTGGTGAATGGCTTGATGAGCCCTACGTTACCCAGACTTCGCCTGATGACTACATTTCGCCTGTCGCTTTAGGGGTTTGACTCAGCAGAAAATGACTCTCGGTGGAGGCCACGAGCCAAATCCTGAACGCTCATTTGATCCTGTTTCACGTCCGAG